TGGAAAAATCGTTACATAAATTAATAATGAAGTATTCCATTCCATCCATTACAGCCATTAAAAGTGCACTGCTGATCATAGGCCTCCCACATAGATTGGCTCATAGGGGGGATTTTGCCATAGTTGCCACGCTTGGTAAGCGGGTCATCAACCGCAGTTTTTTTTGTTATTCTGAGTTGTTATCAGGAAGATGCTGCTGCCCATCTCCTGTATCAGTTTCCCTCTGTTTCCTCTTACGATACCCACGGGACGATATGGGATAGTGGATATTCTTGTACAGCCACTGCACTGTAAGTTGCAGTATTATAAAAACACGCGTTAGCATGATTTAAATAAGTTGCTTTTGTGGGCTGTTCTGCAAATAATCCTAGGAAATGAATATTCATAATCTGCTATTTTTTGAAATTTTTTTTAAATAACAAACAAAAGCTACCTATTTAATACACGTTATTAGAATATAAGTGAAACAGAAGTATGTCCGTTTGCGTTCCATTTTATCGCTTTAAAATGTATACTTTAACTTATTAAGTATGTTCGATCACTAGTTATAACACTAGTTTTTATGATAAAATAAAACTAGTAACGCTTGATCCTTAAGAGTAATAAAACAAGAAATCCTTGAAATACCTAGCTAGGTTATCCATAGATATTCTGTTAAATAGAATCTTTTTTTTTTGCATTTTTTTTAAATATAATTTGTTTGTATAAGTTATGTGAGAAACAATAGATATTATTATTATTATTCATGGTTGAGTTTCCGGTATATTCAACTACAACTACTAGTCGTGTGGTGGCGGTGTAAGAAAATCCACTGCTCTATATCATCCCGTAGATCAGTAGGAAGCAACATAGGGAAATATAAAAACAATTGTTTCTCCTAAGAGGCAATCAATGGGAGAGCCAATATTACATACGTAGCGCATAAGTATGTTCTAGTAGCGCCTAAAATCAAAAATCACACGTTTTGTCGCATGAAATCGTATCTAACAATTATATTGAACATATAAATGATATAAAATGCACATTGTCAGAAAGATAAATTAATGTTGAACTTAATTTTTTTAATCGATTAATTGCTATTTTTATTTAAAAAAAGTGATTTATCAAGTCCGCATAGAGGGGTAAACACTATAACTTTTAAAAATATTAGTTGTTCAACTCAATATATTTTTTTTATCTCTTCATCTATCATGTGGGAAACATGGAATGTAGCTGGCTGTTGAATTTGTTTTTGTTTATTACTATTAATTTTTTCGGCTGAGAAATTCCGAAATTTTCGGTGTTTGAGTAGTCTTTTTATAATATATTTTACTAAATACAGATACACTGAATCACTCCGGACTCGGCCGTCGTCGTGAGTGGATTACTGTATCATTTGTTTACATCTCGTAATGAAAAATATCGATCGCTGTAGAAATACAAAATATTTGATATGTTATAATAGAAAATCAATGGATGTCTACTTATGCTCTAAGGTCGCTCCCGTTGTATTGTGATTCTCTCGATTTGTAATATGCGCTTGCCAGACGTATTGACGATTACAGAACCACAGACATCGCTTACCTTTGACGCTGCTTCTCATCACCGGCCTGAAACATTTTTTCATAGATTTATTGCGACAAACGAGTACATATTTCACCTGATGGTAAGTGGATACTGTGGCCTTTAGACATCTACATTTATCCTCAATTAAGAATCGAAACGCAGATGCGTTGTCACCCCTGAAGACCAAGATTGAATGCCTCGTTTCCAGTAAAAAAGGTTCTCCGGATCTCTGCACTCACCATACGAAACACAGCAGTAGTAGGCTGCTTTCTGTGAGAGCGTGGACCTTCCCCGGTCGAGACGACCGATTCGTTCTACAACCATAATATAGCTGCAGCGTGGCTCTACCACGTACAATCTAAAATATAACTATATTTACTACACAAAAAGATAAAACATATTATTGAAATAATTCTAAAATGTCCCGCGGCACCGCACTACGCCGCGCGGCGCTTCGAGAAGCCTCGCGGCGCAGCAAGATGCATCACGGTGCGCTGCCAGCGACTTCACGATGCGTCTCGCCGCTGCGCGCTGCGCAGTGTAAAAACACTGGCCTCTTCAAGCATTGTCACGTCGCATCGTGTCTCTGTGTGAACTGTTCCTAATTCTTATAACACTATATCTTAGCTCATTACGCGTAACGTCTCGGTGTGAACTGACCCTTAAAGCCTAAATAGTTACATTTAAAACTTAAGGGGTGGTATTTTTTCTGCAAATTTATATGGGACCACCCCTGAAGTATAACCTACTTAATAAACATGAATCATCTGAATCAGTTCACAATTGACGAAGATGTCGCATATGTATGTTACGAGTACGACAAGCTAAATGGTTAAAATATTTTAAAAAAACTTGGCACTGATGAGAGAATAATTATTTTTCACGTTAATAAGACGACGAAGATTTAAGCATACACTAGTCATAAAAATTAAGTGTTTAAAATTAGTCGAATTGTTTGCAGAATTGTCGATTAGTTTGAAAATATCTGAAAATATGTCTAAGGTAGATAACTTTACAGTAATTTCGTTATAACAAGTATAAGTTGGTTTCACTTCAGGGAGGACAGAACGTTATTTACATAAACTTCCTGCGTATATTGTATGGGACTGAGATTGAGAGGAATTGTTCACTATATACCGTTTATAATATAACTAAACATTACTAATTCGTGCACAGTCCGCGACGATCTCGTAGGGCTAACAGTGAAATCATTTAGATTTATATACCATCTTATATTTACGCTACACATGGAATGAAACTAACTTTACGGATGCTATCGCGTTTGATTTTAACTTTTTTAATTCCTAAAGGGAAGTCTGCAGTTTGTCAACATGTACAGGATCGTCCCAACCATTATAATATCAGATTTGATAGACCACAAATCCTCGTAAGAGAACACCGATTTCTACCAAGGATGATTTGCGAAGCTATTGAAATTAAAAAAAAATCTAATTTTAATAGAAAAACTGGCCGGGAGCGCTACCATCTGGTTTAGATCCCATAATTAATAAAATTAAATCTAAACCCCAACATTATACTGCCAGACTTCAAAATTCTGTTAACTCGTTCTGCGTAGATCGGGCCAAAATTAATGAATAAAAGTTGAAGGTAGTCATTTTTCTATAAAACCACCTATTGTCCCAAATCAACAATAAGGATGCCTCTTTAGATCTTTTTTCTCACTAACACGCACATTAAGCTACTATTTTACGCTGGTATTCTGTGAGAGCGTGGTTCCTTCTCGGTAGAGCTGACCTATTCTTGCTACAACTATACTACTAATATAACTGCAGCATGGCTCTACCACGCATAAAATTCTTCGTTAACTATTACATCAGGACTACATAACTATTACGTCAAACACATCTGTCCCCCTCGTGACCATGGGTGCTGCAAAATGCCCGAAACAAAACGTTAAAATTAAACGCGACAAAATCCGTAAAGTTACCAATGCCATAAGACTTTAATGTTTGTCAATACCAACACACTAATGTAACTATAACAACTATATATAAAATTTCTTCTAGGTAGGTAATTCAACGGTACAATCATTAGAATTAAAAAAGAAGATTTAAATAAAAATAACATACTTGTATTATCCCAACATTCTTTTGTACACGGGCATTGTATTTGTCTCTGCTGAGCTATTCTACTCAATAAACACTTTCGCGCTGACATTGGCGAACGATTAAAAAGAAGAAAAAAAAACCGCTCAAAAAACACTTTCTTAAAAGACACACGGGAGGGGTCGTGGGCCCGCACTATTCCAAAAAACGTTCCCCCATGTATGATAATTACTCTCGAACTGAAATTGATCAACGCCTTTTTTGCCCGCTAAGTCACTCAGTAAAGATTAAACAGTAAGGATTATTACAAAATTATTTCATATTTATGAATCTATTGTTATAGCTTTAAAAGATGACATTTTTAATGAATCCGTCTGGGTAAATACCAACCGCTCTTACACAACATTTCAGGCACTCTATTAAGTGGACGGTACCTACCAAGAGTTTGAAAGAAATTGGAGTCCACTTACTTTATATGTTTTTAGTTTTATTATTTATATATTTAAAAAATTTTATACACCACACGATTCCTATCATATATAGGTAATTTTTTATCCCAAAAAATGATTAAAACTACGTAAAATACAGTCACACTAAATCTCTACGGTCAAAACAAACTGAAATGGACCATAACTTAAGGCAATAAGACTTTTAAGAGTGCAGTTTTATTTGTATTATTACTAATTCTGTCATTCAATAAAAATAAAGAAAATTGAACTTTATTTCAAGCCCTTTAAAGTCTTTGCGTTCGACATTCTTCCGGAATTAGTATAACTAATTTGATAAATAATCTGTGCATAAAAATGTTTAACTAAAAATTCAGTGTATGTATTATGATTATAACATATTATACTAATTGGGGTGTCTGGGTGTGTGCGTTAATTACGTTATATATTGTATATATATGTATGTATATTTTATGTATGTGTAGCATGTACATATTTGAATTGAATTTGATCATGACAACTTCACTGCCCATAACTCACTTTCTGTTCTACCCAAGGTTAGCTGGTAGATGCCATATAGCATTAAGCTCGCCTTTTGTACAAAATCTTTGGTGCAATAAATAATAAAATAAATAAAAAAATACCAAGAGGAGTCCGTCTAGACAGAAAAGTAGTTATACTATCTGGAAAAAAAATTCGCATGTCATTTCGATGTTACAAAAAAAAAATTGTAAAACTAAAAATATTTCATGATTACAAAACTATAAGGTGTCTCATTTCCAGTAAAAATTATCTCGCGTTCTCACTCAACGTAACACAGCAGCCCATTTTGCTGTCATTTTACGCTGATGTTTTTTAAGAGTGCAGTCTTTTTTAGTCGGGTCGACTTCGTGCTACCACTGATGTGACACGTGTAATGTAGCCAGATTGTCTTGTCTTGCAGGCATACGAGAGGCGGTTCCCCAGCTGCCCGCAGATCCCGGTGGTGCTTGAGTGTGTGATCACAGAGGACAGCTGGACCGCGGACGATTCGCAGCGGTACACCACGAGGCGCTGCCAACTCAATGTCGACGCGCCTTACTTGCTGAAAAAGGTGATTTCAAAAAAACCTTTTTTTTTTAATTTATGCACACACATCAAGATACAGAAGCAGTCTTATCGTACAAAGGTTCTTCTTATTCCATAATATGATCTTTCTTTATAGAATAAGGGTGACAAACGTGCACACAGTCCACCTGATGGTAAGTTGATGCTGTGGCCCATAGGCATATACATTTATTCACAATATCAAAATGAAAATTCATTGTCATTCCTGAAATGCTTCGTTTCCAGCTAAAATGGTATCCGGTTCTCTACATTCACCATACGAAATACAGCAGCATTAAGCTGCTATTTAATGCTGGTATTCCACGATATAATGGTCCTTCACCGGTCGAGCCGACCCATTCGTGCTATAACCATAATGTAGCTGCGTGGTCCACCACGTATAAAACTTAAATGTAAATAACGACTGTACCGTAAATTTAACGGCAATTTCGATTTAATCTTATATTTAATATCGATAATCTAAATTGAATATATTATATATTTTTATTCTATTTAACCTATCTATCTTCTTCTTCTGCAAAAATTAATATTAATTGACGTGCGTTAGTTTCGCAAAACCTCGAAAATGGCTCGACCGATTTTAATGAAATTTTTTGTGGCTCTCTGGATGGTTTAAGATGTAGATTCACGAATAGACTCAGTAAGTGCCGCAATTGTTTAGAGACTGAAATCACCCGTACAAAGCCAGAGCGGATAGCTATTATTTAATAAAAAAATATGGAATTCTATTCTACAGTACTTACGTTTGCAATTTTTTACAGATGATCGGCGTAGACTACGTATACTTCATCCAGAAGAATCACCTGGACTTGAAGGGTAGAGTGCTTGAAATTGAGGCGACGAACGAGACCTTCTCGGCCAGGGTCGGCGTCGTCGAGAAATGCCGATACTATGTGAGTTAAAATTATTAGTTTTTCTTTAGAAGGGCCTTTGCTACACTAAGATAGTGCGATTTACCATCTAGGGCCTCATCATCATCATCATAATCACTGGCTCATAATAAACAAAAAAAAAATCCCCTAATTCCGGTACTGTAGTGAACTACTCTAAGTAGAAAGCATTATATGTTTGGAGTTTTCAATGGATGTGTTAGTATGTAGCATTGATACATTGCATTGACCCCTAAATTACATGCAGGCGAAGTCGCAGTGATCAGCTAGTTTGTAATAAAGAGAGATCCATTTCTGTTTTAACTGAATAGTAACATGCATTTTTTTATCATAATGAAACATACATTTTTATCAGACGTTTAATAACCGATGCCCCCTTTGCAGTGATGTCCTAGACCAGTGCCTAGCGTGCCTTATTATACTACCACTTCTTTTTAAATACTTCATAATGTATTCCTTACGACATATAAGAGCTCAGCCTGTCGCCGCTATTTGGAGGCCAAACGTAAGACGCAAGGTCGGCACGTGCTCACGAGTGCACGAAGTCGAATCCAATTATCGCACCTCGAATAAAAATTAATACCTTAGAAAGGGCGTGTAATACTTATTTTGTATCAGGGTTACGAGACATGATTTTACACGCTTATATTATATTGATGTGTGACATACTACATATAAATATGTTCTCACGTGGTAGAGCCATGCCACAGCTATTTTATTTATTTTAGTAGTAGAGTTATAGCACGAATGGGTCGGCTCGACCGGGGAAGGACCACGCTCTCACAGAATACCAGCGTAAAATAGCAGCTCAACGCTGTTGTGTTTCGTATGGTGAGTGTAGAGAACAGGAGACCGTTTTTACTGGAAACGAAGCATTCCATCTTAGTCCTCACGGGTGACAACGCATTTGCATTTTGATTTGTAATCAAGGATAGATGTAGATGTCTATGAGCCGCAGCATCCACTTACCATCAGGTGGACTGTGTGCTCGTTTGTCACCCTTATCCTATAAAAAAATGTATGTATGTATGAGTGGAATTGATTTTAAAATTCAATTTTTACCTTTTTACGACGTGTCGATTATCTGAAACGTTAGCACCGATGACAATACAATAATTTTCGTGATTAAGATCTAGTATTCTCTTTAGGATCATCACTGCCTCAGCAGCATACGATCATGACTGCCTCGTTGCTCTGGTAGATGTATCCGCGATTACTGATTATGAGATCCCGGGTCGGGCTAAAATTTATTGTGTGTTTCTGTCAAGGAATTCTCAGGAACATTCCGGTGTCACAAAGTTGACGGTGTTTCACCCCCGTGTTCTCGGAAAGCAAGTGAAGTCGTTGGTCCTGCCTGACCTCTCTCCGGTCGTGTCGGATTGCCGTCCCATCGAACTGTGAGAGTGAGGGAATAGAGTGCACCTGTGCTTGCTCATACACTCCTGCGCTTATAAATCGCCTACGTTGAGACTGGCCGCCGTTAAAGAATTTCGGTCTGGGGGACATAATTATTAGAATCATCACAAATCATGATTAATGCGTCTTAAGCTTTTTTATTAACTCTTATATTATTTTTAATATATTTTTACATGGTAGAGCCACGCTGCAGCTATATTATGTCTGCAGCACGAATGGGTCTGCGCGACCGGGGTTGGGCCACGTTCTCACGGAATACCAGCGTGAAATATACAGAATAATGCTGTGTTTCCATCTTAGTCTTTAGGGGTTACAACGCATGCATTTAAATTTTTTATCAATGAAATATGTCGATTTCTAATCGCCGCAGCATACACTTACTATCAGTTGGATTGCTCTGTTCACTTGTCACCGATTTCTATAAAAAAATCCTTCTAAACACACAATAGAAGAAAATATTAAGAACGATATGTGAGTGAGGACGGTGCCCCTTTAAAGCGTGTAATACTCTTAATGTCGAGTACATTTTACGCACCCATCCATGCCATTGCCATGTTTCAGTGCTAGAAATAGCTGCCGTATGTTACAGCGAAATACCGAGATGTCTTTATCACGCGTATTTAACATAACAAATACAATCTTAATTCAAATTAAAAAGGCGTTATCGTACGTTTTCAAATTGCAACGTTATCAATAATTTTAAATAGTTTACCGGAGAGCCATTTTACCGGAAAAGATGTATTTCATCTTAGTCCTCACGGCTGCCAACGCATCTGTGTTTCGATTCGCAAACGAGTATAGATGTAGATGTCTATGGGCCACAGCAACCATTTACCATCAAGTGGAATGTGTGCTCGCTTGTGACCATTATCCTATTAAAAAAAAACATAAGAAATCGTTAAACATTCTTACAGGTTAAGTTAATAAAAGCGTGTTACAATTAAAATTTTGTACTGAACTGAAATTTTCTACCATACTGAAGATCCATTATAATACAATTTCACGGTCGTTCGCCACCTGGACTTATGTACATGGCCGTCCTGTGGATTTAAAACCTCGTGTACACTGTACTATTTGGAACAACAGATGTGCTACTGCATCACCAAGGTGAATGTTTCGGAAGTTGAAGACGAGGTCGCTTTCCAATTTTATCACTCGGCATTATTAGCAATGCTAAATGAGCGCGCGAGTTTGTTAAATATTTTTATCTGTTAAAATATATCTATCCTATAGACTAGTGGTTTTTAACCATTGACTTATATATTACAAGCGTATTTTTAACCGACTGTCTCAGAAGGCACCCGCGAGTAGTCCGCGAAGGCATCTAACAATGCTCGCAATTTTTTTTTATAGAATAAGGGTGACATACAAGCACACAGTCCACCTGATGGTAAGTGGATGCTGTGGCCCATAGACAACTACATTTATCCTCGATTAGGAATCAAAATCTAGATGCGTTGTCACCCCTGAGGACTAAGAATGGAATCGCTCCTTTCCAGTAAAAATAGGGTCGCCGGATCTCTACACTCTCCACCATACGAATCTCATCTCTACACCATACGAAACACAGCAGCGTAGAACCTGAGACTTTTTTTTTACTGGAAAAGAGGCATTCCATCTTAGTCCTCACGGTCGACAACCCATCTGCATTTTGATTCTTAACCGAGGTTAAAAGTAAATGTCTATGGACCACAGCATCCACTTACCATCAGGTGGACTGTGTGCTCGTTTGTCACCCTTAAAATATAAAGAAATCTTTGCTTCCCTTTTTTGTAACTGCAGACGAAATATATAAACATTATATAGCCTATATCACTTCTACAATTGAGAAGAATCTAACAACGTTATGTACTCGTATATATGATACAATCCATGAGGTTGTTTAGGCTACAAAGCGTGCCGAAGAAATGACTACATACATTCACTACTTTCGAAAAACATTACCCTCCTTTTGGGCAGTCGGGTAAAATATTTAAAACTTGTTATAATTGCCGCATATAAAGTCCCATATGGTTTTAAGAGTCGAACGAGGAAAATGTAGAAATCTCCGAAAGTTACATTATATTTCGAAAAGAAATTAACATACATCTTCTTATACGTGGTAGAGCCATGCTGTAGTTATATTAGTAGTATAGTTGTAGCACTAATGGGTCAGCTCGACCGGGGAAAGACCACGCTCTCACAGAATACCAGCGTAAAATAGCAGCCTAACGCTGCTGTGTTTCGAATGGTGAGTGTAGAGGCCCGGAGACCCTTTTTACTGGAAACGAAGCATTCCATCTTAGTCCTCACGGGTGGCAACGCATCTGAATTTAGATTTTTAATCGCGGATAGATGTAGATGTCTATGGGCCATAGCATCCACTTACCTTCAGGTGCACTGTGTGTTCATTTATTACCTTATCGTATATAAAGAAATACTTATACATATACTTGAAATGGGGCAGTCGGGTAAAACAACAAACAACATTAATCGCCATAAAATTAGATAATTTAGTTTTATTCATCGTAGCTAATATCTATGCAAAATAGTAAATAACTATGTCATTGCTGTAATTTTTTTATAACGGCCGCGCTTTAGCTGCCATATAAATAGAACATCAAGAAAGTTTAACGATTTCAGCGTTGACCGCAAGTACGAGTTTTTTATTGAATCGAGTGACGTAAAGGAGATTAGCTATTTGTGGTGTTTTCTTTCGCAGCTGGCGCGAGCACCTCCAGAATATTTGCGGCACTGAGTGATCTTATGATTACCCGACTTTCCCAGAAAGACGGAAACGTTTTTCGAGTGTATGTTTTATGAATGTTTTTTTTTATAGAAAGGGGTTACAAACGAACACTCTGTCGACCTAATGGTAAGTGGATGCTGTGGCGCAAAGACTTCTTTCTACATTTATCCTCAATTAAGAATCGAAATGCAGATGCGTTGTCACCGCTGAGGACTAAGATGTAATGCCTCGTGAACTCGTTTCCAGTAAAAAGAGTCTCCGGTTCTCTACACGCACCACACGAAACACAGCAGCATTAAGCTGCTATTTTTCGCTGGTATACTGTGAGAGCGTGGTCCTTCCCCGGTCGAGCCGACCCATTCGTACTACAACCATAATATAGCTGCAGCGTGGCTCTACCACGTATATTTATGTTTCTTTAGCAAGCTCTATAGCTTAAACGACTTGATACATTTTACATACTGGGTGTATTTGGAATCGTCTTAGTAGAAATTACATAGGGTATAAAACTTTTCTCGTTTCAATTAACTTTTTTACGCAATTAGGTTTTTTTTAAATTACTGTTCTAACCTTTGGACTTGTTTGATTTCTTATTTTTTGATTATCTTTACAACGCTAGCAAACCGGGTTTGATTCTTGTCAGCACCAATGAAATTGTTAATTGTTGATTTAATTGCTGTTTCACAACATGCTCGGCGGCGAAGGAAAGTATTGTTCGGAAGTCTGCATGTCTAAAAAAGTTAAAACGCGTTCATGGGTACAATTTTTTGATTTTTTGATGTTATGAACCGTGTAGTGACTGTATAACAATCCTGTATCCACATTAATCTCGTGCGTGGCGTAAGAGGCGATAGAGAGA